TCAGCCGCTTATAATAAGTGCCCAATTACATGGAATTGCACTACTACAAATTTTTCTTATCTTTTATAATTGCATAAGTTACCTAATTATATATGCAAAGTAAAGAGATTTGTAGAAAATGATAGTGATTTGAAATATATAATTGAAAAAATGAGACGTGGTACTAACTACTAATCCCCACCCGGGACAATGTAATTAAATTAGCATTGTTTCGATTTAATTATTACTAGTACAACTGTACAACACACGTGTATTACACGGGTGCTTATGAAAAAAAATTCTTAAAATTTAAAATTAATGAAAAAATTATTTAAATATTGTTTACTTTTTTTACGAAAAATATATATTATTATATATTTTAGAATGACACTTGTTACTTGTGCGACTTTTATGTGTTATATTATGGTGATTTTTATAACTTATATCATATAACTACTTGAAATATAAATATATTAACTGATAAATAAATTTGTTTTTTAATTAATATTAAAAAAATATTATTGTTATAAAGATAAATAAATTTATACATATGATATGGATGTTAAATCGAAACTCATCAAGAAATAATTAATTTGATATATTATATAGGTAAAACTTGTAAAAAATACAAAAGGTATTAACTTTTAAAATACATTTAAAATTAATTAATAGTTATAATAAGAAATGATATTAAAATGCAATTAATACATATTATTAATAAGAACTGGTAATAAGAAACGGTATTAAAATGCAATTAATACTAAATGGTAAAACTGTATTCCACGGGTGCTTGTTAAAAAATTATTCTTAAATTTTAAAATTAAATAAAAAAATTATTTTAAATATTATTTATTTTTTTACAAAAAATATATATTATCATATATTTTAGAATGACACTTGTTACTTGTGCGACTTTCATGTGTTATATTATAATAATTTTTTATAACTTATATCATATAACTACTTGAAATATAAATATATTAATTGATAAATAATTTTATTTTTTAATTAACATTAAAAACAATTTTATTATTGTTATAAATATAAATATAATTTAGTTTTTTATACATACAATATGGATGTTAAACGAAGTTCATCAAGAGATAATTAATTTGATATATTATATAGGTAAAACTGATAAAAAATACAGAAGTTATCAATTTTTAAAAAACATTTACAATTAAATGTTATAATAAGAAATAGTATTACAATGCAATTAATACATGTAACATGACCATAAATAATCAACATATTTATGGATAATTCAGACCTAATTATTTGAATTGGAAGTAAATTAAAATCTACCCAAGCCTAATAACGAAGCATGTAATTTTACCACATAGGATCCCAAAGCAAGCAAGTCTGCCACTTAGGTTCAGCACATTCTGAATTAATATATAAGGGGAAGGGGATATCTATTGACTAAATATATTCATTTAAAAATAAAATAGTAAAATGGCACCTCACATTTATTTAATTATTTCATGGCCCTTTTACATCCACATGGAATCAGAATAGGTGTTCCCACCAGGCATCTGCACCATGTTTTAGCTGGGATTTCTTCTTGTGTTTTCCCTTGGCTAGTTCCTTGTTGGTTAGATTGGCTATCATACCTATACCAACACTTGTTTGCAGTGTGGTTTAGCCCATGAATTTGGCATTGAGGTTTATTGCCTTGGTTTCTTCCTCTACCTCTGCATTTATAGGAGCCTCTTCCTCCTCTTCTACCTTGGGGTGCATTTCTATTTCCTTTAAATCGATTGACGTTTTGGTTGAAGTTCCTTTGAGGGTTCTGAGTGACCACATTAGCATATGGTTGAGACCCTTCTAAGCTAACAACAAACCCCTGGTTCATCTCAAGTCTTGACTCATAAGTAAGCAATAAGGCATGAACTTCAGCAAGAGTGTGAGGAAGAAATCTTGAAGTGACATTAACCACTACTAAATCATATTCAAATCCAAATAAGTAAGAATGTGAAGGATCTGATTTTGTTCTTGAATTTTCTCTCCTACTATGGCCATAACATCACCATGGTTCTTGATTCTGTTAAGAAACTCTCTCATTGTTAAACCATCTTTCTTAAAAGGTTTGAAATTTCAGTTTGTACTGCATTATTCTTGCAGATGATTGGCAGACAAAGTTACTTTCAATGACCTCCCATATTTCTTGAGCAGTGCTCAAACCAACCATCATGACCAGATATTGTCTAACCCAACAAAGATAATCTGGGTTGATTTGAGACTCACCATTTTCTGGATCTAGATGAGCTTCTTTGGTTTCTTGTTTTCACCATCGATGTAGCCCTTTACTCCATAACCTCGTATGGTTGTTATGACTTGCTGCTTCCATATTAAGTAGTTTGTTTCATCCAAATTAGTTGGTATCAGTTGACTATTGGGTAGAATAAGGGATCCCCTTGCCGTTGTGTTTGAGTTTGGAACAGCCATTGAACTTGAAGATACAGCAGAGTGACTCATGGTGAAAGGAGAAGAAAACAAGAACACAAAATGATAAGCAGAAGCAGGTCTAATCCGCTCTGATACCATATTAAAAAATCATCATAACTATCATAGATCTAAGCAAGCAAAAAGATGAACAAAGGATCAATCGCCGCACTGTTCACATACACAACTTTCAGATAGGTTTTACATGAGCTTAGAACTAAATATAAACACACATCAAGGGGAGATCAAATGGACAAGTGTCCATAATTTAAAAATGATCCGACTTTCCTAACAACTCCAAACTAGGAGTATAGCCAATTTTTGCAGCTTTAAGAAAAGCTGCTATGTCCTTGTTGCATGTCCATGTTGGCTCATAATTTTACATGAGTTGGATATTGCTTTTCTTTGACCAAGTCTTGTTTTGCATTTCCTTAATATTTCTAACACGTAATATAATCTTCTATAGATCTCACACTTAGTAATTCTTACCCCTTTGAAGCTTTTTACATAATCTTCCTTAATAAGCTTTTTACACACTTATACTCCACTCATAATGACGTGACATTAAAGAGAAGGAATAAAATGCAGAACTCCTTCTGCATGTAGAAGTCTTGTTAAAAGTGATGAGTCAAATCTTTCCTCCCACTTAATTCTTTTCTTTTTAATTAAACCAACAAATTGGTTAAAGAAAAAGAGGATAACTGCTATGAGAAGAAAAAAAATGACTGAACTAGGAAAAATTAGAGATTTAGTCCTTTAAGTGGCGTCGATTTGAGGTTTAGTCCTT